GAGAGAAATCTAAGATCCTTTTTTTTACCAAAATCTATTTTTAAATAAAATAGAAACAAAACTGTAACACAAGTGTAGACTAAATGTTACATTCATGAACAACAGGTGCTTATTTTGTTCAAAAAATTACCAATAAAAATGTCTCTATCTTTTGAGAATAAACTGTAAATGTTTTTTATCTTATTATTTTTAAGTGTATTAATGTGAAATATTTTCCACGGTTATAATTTTTGTAAGTGAAAAATTTTAAAAGTAAGGCAAAGAAGAATTCAAAACTTATATCATAATTAAAAGAACAAAAACCCTTTCCAGATGGGTCACAGGTGAAAGGCCATGTCATCGCATTTGTTGACTTGCATTAAAAATTTTATTGAACTACTTACTATTTCATGAATTTATGTCAATAAGATTGGTATCAAACTGCAGACTATAATTCAAATTTTTAGTATTATATCTTACTCAAAGTCTTAACTTAAAATTAAATATAATATAAACAGTTAAACATAAATTTTTGTTTGTCACGTGGTATGTTGAATGCAGCACTGGTTCAAATCAGATGTTTGTGATGTCAAAATACTAAGTCTATAGTTTCGTACGAATTAGAAACTCAAATTACCAATATTGACAAGCTAGAATACAAAATAAGAACATCTTATCTTTTCTATTTGCTAAGATATTGCTCACATAATAAATCAAACACAGTGGCACCCCACACACCTCTTTCCATTTTTAGAAATGCTTCCTTATATACAATTACTTCTATATATGACATGAATAACCAATGGAAAGCTCAGAATGTCCCCGTAGTGGCTTTTTCAGTCATTTTAATAGGCTTGGATGCCAGTTCTTTCTTTTGAACCAATAATTCAATATTTTTAGACTGAAATACAGCTTAGTTATTAAGCTTGATAAATTACAGTGGAATTCTATGGTATTGATGTAGTAATTTATGATTTTTGTTGGTTACTCAACTGTATATATAAAAGCTAAAAAAATTATTTTGTTTCAAATCCTCCACGTGCAAAATTTTAAAAGCCTTAGCAAACTACATCAAGCAGAACAAAGGTTGTAACTAAAAGAAATAATTGTTTGCTTTACTTTTTTATTTACTGTTCTGTCTTAATAAAAACAAATTTAAGAAATTATTTCGAAATAGCAATAATATATATACGTATATAATGTATAATAATTGAAATATGACTATTTTTACAAAATACTAGTCTACTAAAACACAGCCAAGACAGGTCACTTTGTAAAGACTAAAAGTCAGTTTTATATTACTGTTACAGTTTGAAAACTATCTGAACAGTATAAAGATTTCATATGTGAAATTTGAAACTTTTATGATGACAAAAGTATTTATAATCTTAAAATGAAAATTATCTTGCATGTTGGATAGGCAACATGCAAAAAGAAAAAAAAGCATGTGAAAAATATTGTTTAAAAACCTTAAGTCTTAATAACAAAATTTGGTATTTTGCATATGAAAGCATTGTAATGTTTACTGATAATCTGCCAAATTTCCTTAACATACGCTTACTAATTTAAAAGTTATAACACAAAAACTATAACAAGCATAAAATAGTTACGAGGTTGGTCCCAGAGACCAAGCCCATGCTGAAAGAGTTAAACAAGACACTGGTTAAAAATAGTAAAAATAGTCTATTAAGCCTTAGTAAAACCAGGTTAAAATATTACATAATCACCTGAGGATAAGGCTCCACAGCTGTATGAAGTGTTCTGGCAAGTAACTCAATGCAGAGGATAAGGATAGCGTCATCTTTGAAGCTGACAGAATGATGAAATAACATTTTTAAAAATAACTAGTAAGATCAATTATATTTTACTACAAAATGTTTTATATAAACCTGAAAGAGCAAAGCATATATACAAAACTTTTAAGGTTTAAAGCATACTACACTATGCGGCAAGTTAGAATTAGATATCAAACACTGCAAGTTGGTTAATCAAACCTTGAAATCTATTAAAATTTCATAACTTTTCATGACTTTGAAATTAAAGTTTTGTTTTGGGATAAAACAAATAACATGGTTTACAAACTTATTTCTTTATTTCTTTTAATAATTTTAAAAAACACAACATTTTCGAATGAAAAAGTGAAAATGGATTTCATGTCACTGTTTTTTTGTAAATACATATATTTGGAAGTTTATATTCATTAAAAATCGTTCCATGATCCAATACAAAAAAAAGGCAGTGTAACTAAGAGTCCAGGACTTATGTACACAGAAAAACCAAGTTCAGTCAAAACATCTCTTGATTATTACAGACTCTTGCTACGAGGTCAGTCAAATTGACCGACCTTGTGACCATTTTGTACTTGTGCATTTTACAGTGTAGCATTAAATTTTAATATTGAAAGTCATGTAGGGATGATCTATGCATAGCAGTATCATCCTTATATTCTTGTTTGCTTATTTTTGGCACTGCCATCCCTACATCATTTTACTTTTACAAAATGTATTTATTAAGTGTATAAATGCAGTAGAAAAGGATGTTAGAACAATCCAAAGCATAGACATCTGAATGACAGTAATCACAGGTGAAAAGAAGAAGAAATTAGGTGAGAGAGAAAGAAAGTACAAAAAGCAAGAAGCCAACATCTTAAACAGAGCATGCATGAGTGTGTGGAAAACCACAGTGAAGTCTCAGTCAAGCATTGGAGTCAGGAAAAGAGGTCAGAGAAGAACGAAGGAGCAGAACATAGTAGATGAGACAGATGAAATACAATGGACATGATCACCCAATAAGCAGCAAAGGCAGAAACTGACAAACCATGGAAGAAAGACCAGGTAAAAAGGCATAAAAGTGGTTCACAGTATGATGATCAAAAGGAAAGTAGTGGCAGAAAAGAGCCAACAACAATAGACATGCCAATTTCATTAATAGACAGATATAATGGAATGGTGATAGGAATACGCGAAGAAGAATGCCACACAATTGGAGACTCTAGCCAGATGGGTGACAGACCAGACAATACCCACATGTGAAGATTGAAGGACGTGCAAGAATGAAGAAACAGAGTAGATATAGGGTAAAGGAAAGGGGGAGGGTCTGGATTCTAAGCAAATAAACAAAGGAAACCAAGGCTGAACTGGCTAAAGATGTGCCAACAATAACACCTGACATGAAGTGTCACATATCAAGACGAGGACCCAGGGGAGAAGATGAAGCAGGGGGAAAAGGCCTTGCTGAGAGCATTGACAGCCAAAGGATAAGAAACAAGACCATAAGAAAGGAAGCCCTGAGTTGAGAATTGATGCAAAAGTATCTTTTAGAGGCGTGCCCAACCAAGAGCAAACCCCACAAAAGACCTGGATGTGTAGAAACTATTCCATTGGTAGAATGTGGATCGAAGAAGAGAGGCAGTCCACCATCAGTTTCTTACCTCCCAGCAAATGACAGACAACAAAACAAAACCAATATGAATGGGCCCAGAAAAGTATGTCCAAAATAAAAAGGTCCTGAAATGGGTGCCTCCTGGACAGTTGGTGTAAGAAACAACTGTGGAATTGACAGAGTGGATCATGAACAATTTGATCCACCAGTAAGAGCAGAAATGGGAATATGTCTGACAAACAGCAAGAAGTTCAAGCACATTGATGTGGAGTGAATGCTCACTCTGTATCCAAATGCCAGAAGGCATTTTCTCACCCAGAGATGTGCTTTAATAAAAGAGGGAAGAATGAGTAAAGAGACAGATTTGGTTTGGGAGTTGGTAATGGAATGCCGGAAATAGCATGGGCGCAATCCAGTCACCATGACAATTCCTCTAGGAGAGGAAAGGTTCACAAATGAGGAGAATGGAACCCAAGACAGAAATCATTGGATCCATAAGGTCTGCAGGTATAAATGTGTTAAAACTACAACTTAAACTGCAAAACATGTATCATCTCACAATCATAAATAAACTGTTGTCAACCCTAGAAAATGAGACATAACCTGAAGATACAATCAACTTAAATAAACCATTTTTTATTATGTTATACCAAATATCCCTAGCCTCTCATGTGCTATCCAAAAAATGGTTAAAAACAACTAAAGAATACAACATGATTTTGATGTTAAAGGATACTTGTATCAAATTTTATGTAAAAATTAGTGGTAATTCTTCCATTGTAAACACTGGTCAACAAATGTCTATAAGATTAAAAGAACATTTAAAAGCTTTTTCCCTTGTGTTTGAGCACATGATTCATAACAAAAACAGACCAAAAAGTAAAATAAGCTTTATTCATTAAGAAACAAAAAAGCTAGCATTAACCAGTAGTATTCAGGTCTAAAATAATATTTATTTTAATTTTCCCTATTTAAAAGGTGTGTTTGACTTGCTTTTATTTTGTTGCCTAGTGATGTAGTATTGCTCTTGATACTGCAACACTTAATGGTTTCATTTCATTATTCAGTTTATTCACCTGACAATGCTATGTACACCTCGCAAAAAGTAGTTTTTAAAATTAAAATAAACTTGCTTTATCTGTAAACAAAGCTTAAATTTTCACGGTCTTGGTTAGATAGCAGTCTTTATTTAATTCATGAATCACACATTTCATTAAATATTCAAGAACTATTACAATGTTACCTGCTACTAGATAGACTATTCATGAATAGAGTAAAGACTAAATGGATTTCCATAGAAGGCAAAAAAGTAAATATCTATTAATCAAACATTTTAATGTACCAAAATAATGTAAGTTCTCTTCATCAAAAAAAAAGTTCAATTAACTTACATATTATTTTATACACCAATAATCTGAAATTATACTCAAAATTCATAATACAAAGTACTTTAAAATATGATGGTTTTTAAAATATTCTTTACCAAATCCAAACTTTTCTCAATAATAGTAGTGTTCTCAATGTGCTTCTGGAGAAATTTTGTTTTCTAAGGACAAGTTGTATTATACACATTTAATCACAAGATAATTGTCAAGATTTACTTTACATTGTTTTAGAAAGAGCTAAATCTGAGTAGCTATTTTGTGCAGTTCTAGTAACTATTCAAATTGTTTAGAAAGAGCTTAATCTTGAGAGTGATCTTGCATAGTTTTAATAGTAACTATTTATTTCACATTGCCTAGAAATAGTTACAGTAATTCTTGATAATTTGCCAATGCTATCCAGTACCTAATCAATTCACATTGCACAGAAACAATTACAGCAATTCTTGCCAAATATCTTGTTTATTTAAGTAGATCTTCACTTCATACTATTTCAAAGCAGTTACAATAACCTTCAATTACATTTTGTACTCTAGTAGCTATTTTGTTTTAAAACAGTTAACTTGACAATCTTCTTTGAAGTTTGGAACAAATAAAATCACAATTCATAATATTTATTCTTCTATTGTGATGGTGCCTCAACATCATGATTACACTTTTAATAATAATACAGCATGACATTTTTATTACATAATTTCTTCCTGTTTGTTATTTTGGAATTTAAATATATGAATTCTATAATGGGCAATAAAATTTTAAATCAGATTTGGGCAAAAAAACATCAAGAAAGTTTAGAATATTAAGTATTCCTATCACATTTTAACCCCTTTTAGATGCAAGATACCTAATTACGTATCAGCACATACCCTTGTATGTTTAATTGCCGTAAGGCAGTGAATACAAAATCCCTGATGACAAACAGCCAAGATCCTCCAAGGCCAGTCTTAAGCTCTGGAAGAAGTAGTTCACTACACAATAAATACATCAACATGACCCTTTGTTTTTCATGGGTCCTGTGTGCCTGAGAGAGCTTAACTCTTAGAGAAAGCAACACCTGTTGTATGCTGTCCTGTAAAAAGATTTATATAGTTGTAAAATATCTACTTGTAACTCACAAACTAGATAAGAAGTAATTACATATTCTAAACACAGCTTAAGCTTCAATCTACATACACATTATAAACATACAAAATGGCTATTTTTATTTCAAAAAATAACACCTGTCAATAAGCACAAAACCAACAAACTAAAAAGAATACGAGATGAGCCTTATCATGAAACTAGAATGCCACTAAAATAATATCTAAAGCCCCCCCCCTTCATACAAAAACTAATATGAGATTATTATCTCAAACCTACAGATAATTTTACACACAAGCTGTTGGAAAATTATTTAATCCATCTGCAGGTGATAATTATAGTCTTGTTACTTAAATATTATGAAGCATTATCACTTTATGATAGAAAATTAATTGAACTCCATTATTATGCTCACTTAACTTCAGTTGAAGTCTATTTATTAATAGACTTTCCTTTATGCACAGTTCCCTTTCATTATTCACCATTGTTAAGACCTTAGTACATAGGAGGAGGTTTTGATATGACTTAAGTGATTTATGGTGTGAGAGATATACCAGAATGCTTTTTAAATAGGGTATCACTAGCAATATAAAACAGTTCTCTAGAAAACTTCCCCAAGATTTAGTGGTCTAAGTAGGAATGTAAATCTAGCTTAATGACCTCATAGGAATAAATTAATCATTTTTCACTATCAACATACATGTATATTAGAAAGTTAAGAAGATTAAAAAGATAAATACACAAGTTGTGAGAAAACAATGAGAAATAAGTTGGAGAATCAAAATAAAACTTCTTTATTAGTCCTTTCCAGCCTAGTATCTTATATTTTACAGAGCAAAATGATAATAATATATTTTGAAAAATATCTGTCTGATCTCTCCTTTCAAATCACCTACAAAATGAAATTATAGCTGAAAAGTTAAGGTTGAAAATTTTCTTTTTACTTATTAACATTTGTTTTAGATAAAATAATTTTGAAAAATCCAAACTGCTAGCATTAATTTTTGATTGGTGCTTTCCTGTTGTAATTCTTTATTGAGATGATGAAAATCATTAAATTTCTCACACGTGCAGATATAATTTGTCAGTGTATCAAACAAAGCCAGAAATCTCTAATATTTTGTACAAATTTGTTGCAAATTGTTTCTACATTTACTTTTTTTGACTACTCATAAGTTTCAAAGGTTAATAAAATCACAAATGTATCACTTGAAGGCTGGGAGTATTTTTTTTCTCATAATCTATTTGCAGTAGAGCTCCCTTCTTCCTTACATGGATGGACAATTTTTAAATTTTTACTTACATTGTATTTGAGGCTATAACAAAAGTTTTGTATTAGTTGTACATCACAGAAAGTGTAATAATTTATTTCATTGTATTTTCCCTGTATGTTTCTTTATTTTGTTGAAGTAATTCCTTTGGCAGTTCATTTTCTGCATACAAAAACTCTCCCTGTTGTGATATAAGGTTTGAATGGCTGTTTCACATGAAGATCATTTGGCAGAGGCAATAGTGGGATCTTTTTTATGTTTTTTACTAAGCACAAAGCTACACAATAGGTTATCTGTGCTGCACCCACTGCAAGTATCTAAACCTGTCTTTATATGCATTATAAGCCCAATGACTTACTACTGTGCCATTAGGGAGGGATACTTTTTGAAACAACTTTATATGATGTATAAAAGAATGTCAGAGTAAGTTTTAAACATAAGTAGAGTAAGATAAATACTTCCTATTTTAACACTTTAGATGATATTCTTTACAACAATTTATTTAAATAATATGGACTAGCAGATGATGTCATTTTGCCTATTGATATTGTTGCTGTATATGGATGCATGGAAAGAGGCTTTCAGGTCAAGGGCCATAGGCATAATGGCATAGTATATCCTACATAATGTAGCAGTTATTTCATTATAAATCATAAGTTGTCCAAAAATAAATAAAACATATATTTTAAAAGGCACTATGGTGATTGTGCTTTTGTTTGAAGTGTTTGTGTTTCAGATTTGATAATGTTTATGAGTTATTTTTTATTAATGTAATGTTACTAGGCTGTTAGAAAAGATTAAAGAAAATATCTACATGTTCAATAATGATGACTTTTAATGTTGTAAAAATCAGAAGTTACCAATCCTATGATACTTTGAAAATGGAAATTAAACTGATCTATCAGCCTAAACGATTATCTCATCACCATAAGTAAACCTAATTTAACCAAAAAAGGGCAAAATTAAACTAACCTTTTTCTGACAAAGAATGTGCACTAAACTCTCCGGCTGGTCTGATCTGAAACATGTCATGAGATATTTCCATGTTTCACGAAGAACATTGGCCGAGAAACATGGGGGGTTTGCTGGAGGAATGCTTCATAAAAAAACAAAAGGAAAATTATACATACACATATATGCACACACAAACACATCTTAAAACTGGAAGACATTAATAAGATAAATTTCTTATCTTCCTCAATATAGGCCATTTTTTAATTCAACTTTGACTTTCCCAATCCCAATACAACATCCCCAGTTTTGATGTGAAAAATCTAGTCACTTGAGCCAATAGCTTAGAAAATGAATGCATTTATTATGTTATTAAATAATAATGTTCATATAATTTCATTTATAATAAAAAAGACAAACACGAACATTCTTTAAGCTTAATCCATTAAGTAACCATGAAAATGATGCCAGAAAATATTAGAACGAGCATTTTCTTTCAATATTAAACATTTCACTGTGTAATAAAGAACTATGTAGAGGTGTTTGAATCAACCAACTAGAATGTTCCTTATCCTTCTTTCCTAGGTAGGAAAGACAAAGTAATCATAACAATATTACCATGCTCACTGCAGATACGATAATAATTTTCTATTATTACAAAATTCCCAATAATAAAATAATTTACAATACCTAAGATATTGTAACAAAACCATCCTTTCACATACCACTGAACAATAATGTCATACTCATCAAAGTCTGACTGGTCTTCTTGCAGAGTGGATAATAGGTGGATGATTACTTGGTCTAGCTCCAGAATGCTCTCCATGACCTGAAAAAACAGCATAGCATCACTTTCAGAATTGAAGTGTGAAGAGATTCAAAAGTTATATATATATATATATATAT